CATTGCTATGAGAGAGAAACATTGATCAGCTGCCTCTTCTGTGTGCCCCTAGAGATCAAACCTACAACCTGGGTATGTGCCCTGACTGGGAATCAAACTGGTGACCTTTTGCTACACAGGATGATACTTAACCAACTGAGCCACACGGGCCACAGCAATGAGCTACCATTTTTTGAGTGCTTTCTCTGTGCCAGACACTGCTCCACGGTCCTTATGTACTCATCCAAACCTCACAACAACACTGTGCCCTATGCTATCAGGCTGGATAAAAGACAACCCCAGATCACTGAGACCTTTTTCCTATAGAAACCACAGAGCTGGTTAAGTCTTTAAAAATATAGGAGTATCATGTATGTTCATCTTTGTTAGCATGATAATTACACAATTATTAGGCACTTAATATATGCCAGGAATTTCACCAAGCATTAGGGATGCAAAAACATTTTGACAAACTCCTGTCCTTGAGGAGTTGGAAAGAAATACAAAATAGCACCAACACAAGGAGAAACCTACGCCTGCATTTAAGTGCCAGTTGAGCAACAGCCCCACAGCCTGCTGCTAAAGTTCCTGGGATCAACTGTGGACTGGGGGGCATGGGGTGAGGGAGTGGTCAGGGAACGCCTTATTAACAACATAGAAATCAGTCCATCCCTAAATACTAAGACAGCCACTAAGTGGTGAGGAGAGGGAGACTCCCCTCCCCCGGGAGAAAGAACAGAAGCAAAGAGAGCCCCTGGTCTATTAGGAGATGGCAATGGCCCTGCTGGGCTGAGGCAGAGAACCTGGGGGTGGGCAGTGAGAGAAGTGGTGGGAGCGGTCCACTGAGCACGTTTGGGAGAGTCTGCCCACCCAGCCAGGTATGTGGACTGCATCTTAAGGCAAAGAGGGGACACTGGAGAGTTCCAAGCATCGACCATCCTGGTTTCAGAAGACCACCAGTCCGGTGGTCGTGCTCAGAACCCCAGGGACCAGCGGGGAAAGGACCCGCCTGGGGAATAACGTTCAGTGTAAGTCCAAAATGCTCCAGGCCCGGTAGATGCTTTCACAGAAACAGCAACACAGATAATAGCTGCCATTTATCAGGTGTCAGGAGCTGTGCTAGGCGCTTATTTAATCATCCAAGTTCAAGATCACATGTATAGCAAGTGGCCTCGTCTGGTTGTGGACCTCAGTCAGTCTGACTCCATGTAACATTGCACTACAGACTTCTGCTGGCATCCCCACCTCCCACGGGGGACGGAGAGCAGCTCCCCAGCCAGCAAAGTCTGGACGAGGATGGTGATGGTGACGGAAAAGAGGAGGCAGCTTGGAGACATACACCCAATATCCTGGCTTTGCTTTCAGATTCTTGATGACTCACAGCCAAGGTCTAGCAGGAGGGGGAATTGCAGCCTGTGTCTGCAGAGAGGAAGAAACCTCGGGCCAGCCTGTCCTCACTTGCTGTCCAGAAACACACACTGGACACTGAGCTCTTCTGCACGGTTTAGAGCCCAGACAAACAGCACTGCGCTGGATCCTCCTACCAGACGCCTGCCTACCTCTCTCCCTCGCTGACTGGGGCCTGATCTCGTATTTGCTGGTTTATATACTATGGCAGCATAAGACAAGTTTAGAAGACAAAAATAACCTTGGAATTATCTTGTGAATTCATGGTAATTACCATGCAATTACATGCTCAGTAACCACAATGGAATTCCAGAGTATTTACAGTTCACTTCCATATACAAAAGCTCGGGCTTCTGGGCCTTCGTGGTGCAGGCAGGAGCATGGCACGGCGGGGCATGGCAGGGCGAGCAGGCCTGGGGACCATGCTCTTCCCCCATTGACCCAGCAGCTGAGCCAGAACTTCTTGTAGCTGGAAAGCCCACCAACAATTCCTGACACGTCTACCAGAAACACACCCTCTTCCAGAAGATGTCCTCTGAGGCCAAGGACTAGAGTGGGTGCCCTGAGCTGTCACTCTCTAGGGATGGTGTGACTAACCTCTGCTCTTTCTGAATCACCGGCTTCTGCCACAATGCACTCATTAACCACAAGTCCCCTGAATTATATAGCCTTTGAGGTCTTAAGTCAGAGGGAAGTGCTATCCAGTTATTGTATTTTGTTTATCTATTCTTTCTTTCATTCAGAAAACATGGATTGCCTGTTTTGTGCTCACAGCTTGCCCAGCCTTGGGATTCAGAAACCAAACAGTGCCTGCCCTCAGGAAGCCTCTGGCCATGTAAGGGGGTCAACCAGGGGAACAACTCCTGATCGGCCAGGTGACAGCAAGTACAGGCGTGAGACCAATGAGGCTCAAAGAGGTTTTCTCTTGTAACAAGGAAATTCCCAACGGCTACAAATGGGACAGTACTAACGGAGGCACACAAACCAAGATGCATGATGAGCCTGGGAGACTAACATTTTTATAGATGTGGACTCAGCTTACACGTGGGAAGAGCAGGCTTCATTAATAGTCCTGATGACGGGACCATCAGATATAATACTTTCTGTCAATGTTGAAGAGACATAATATGTGGGGAAATATGTCTCAAAAGGTGACCATGAAATCGTGTGTGTGTGTGTGTGTGTGTGTGTGTGTGTGTGATGTTCAGTCTCTGCTGGGCACTCAGTCAGCCTCAGTTCCCTGTGTGATCCCAGAGACACACAGAGAGAGAGTGAAGCATCACCATAGATAGTATCGGTCTCATGAACCTTGCAGTCCGCTGGGGATCAACAGCATCTTTTTCCTTCTATTCCAAGTACTGCACTAGGGCAGGCACCTGGTTGCCCAGCACTTGAAGGACCCCAGAGTTCAAAATCTGGGCCAGGAGCCTTCATTTTCTATGCCCAAAGGTTGGCCGTGGCCCTGTTTGCCATTCTCCAAGTTTCCAGTTATCCAAGGACAAATATAATTGATTGTCAAAGGCAAATATCACATGTCACGAAGGACATGCTACAGAACTGCCAGGTTCCAATACTTTCTTTTGTACATATTAAATTTTAAATATTTTTTTAAGAAATATTACAGCTGAAATACTTTAGGCCTACTGGAGCCAGCCTCTCCGGGGTAGCTCCCACTGGTAGGCAGGCAAAGTAAAGAATGTCAGTTTCCCAAAGAAAGCAGTTGAAATAACAGTTGTAACATTGGTGCTGCCAAGGAGCGGACTGTGCTGAGTGACTTGCTTCCGAAGAGTACAGTGTAGAAAGGGGGAAAGTCTACCTACGCGAGAAACCTGGCCAACAGCACCTTCGCCAGAGATCAGGATGCTTCATCAGTACCCTTGATTGAAGGTGATGAGAAGGGCCCTTTCCCCATGTGGTCCTCCTCTCACAAAGACATTACCCCATTCTAATCGTGAGAAACATCAGACAAACCCAACGTGAGGGGCATTCTATGAAACAGCTAAACAGTGCTCCTCAAAACTGTCAAGATCATCAAAAACAAGGAAAGCCTGGAAAACGGTTACAGCCCAGAAGAACTTAAGCAACATGGAAACTAAATACAATGCAGTAGCCTGGATGGGATCCTGAAACATAAAAAAAGGAGGAGGGGGAGTTGAGTTAGGGGAGATCTAATAAAATAGAAATAAAATCGAAAATAGTATATGGACTTAAGTTAATAGTAATGTAGCAATTTGGTTTCTTAGTTATGACAAACAATGCATTATCACATCAGTGTAAGATGTTAACAAAAAGGGGCTGAATATGGGGTAAGTAAGAATTCTCCGTATTATCTTCATAACTTGTCTGTTAATCTACAACTATTCTAAGATCAAACGCTTACTTAAATATTTTGTAAGGAGTCTTACATTCAGTTGCGGTCTTTTCCAGACAAAGGCAACCCATCGCTACGCAGTGATGACCACCCAGCTGAAGCACAACAATATGTCGCTGATTTTCCCCTATGTTTTTCTCCAGATGTGTAAGGCCCATGGCATCGGCTATGACATTGAGGTATGAAGGGTGACAGTTGGCCAAAGCTAGACCAAATAAATACAGGCCTGTAGACGATCCAGGCAGCTAATAATCTGGGGCCCCTTCAAACAGATCCTCTGCAAACACTAGTTTGACGTGCATTTAGAGGAAGGCTGAGTGATGCTTAGAGAAGGGTAGAAAGGCAGCTCCACCCTTGGTCCTGGGAAGTTCAGCTCTGTCGCCAAACTTGCACACCCACCTTGGTAAAACAAAAGCTTGGTGGCTCACCAAGCTTAGGAGGAATTTGGGGGGGTCATTTCTTGATTCTGAAGCATATCCTTAAGCTCCCTCACCCCACCCAAAGCTGTTTAGCAACATCTATCCTCTGTCTTAGTCTGCTCCAGCTGGCATAACAACACCACAATAGAAATTTATTTCTCACAACTCTGGAGGCAGGGAAGACCAAGGAAAAGATGCCTGATGCTGTTCCTAGTGAGGGCTCTCTTCCTGGCTTGCAGATGGCCACCTTCTGTGTCCTAACGTGGCACAGAGAGAGCGCTCTGGTGTCTCTGTAACCTCTTTTATAAGTACACCAGTTCCATCGGGACAGGGCTCCACGTTACAACTTTATTTATCCTTAATCACCTCCTTAAAGGCCCCATTTCCAATACAGTCACATAGGGGTTAGGGCTTCAACCCATGAATTGGGGGGAAGAGGACATGCAGTTCAGTTCATATCATCCTTCTACCTGCAAATAGTAGTTTCTTTCTAGAAGGTGTTCTCATAAAAACAATTTTTCCCAATTGGAGTCTTTTTTCGGTGATACTGATGTCCCGTGCCCAGCTGCTTCATCCATAATGTAGATGGGTAGGGGCAAGTGAGATATAATATCTCCTACCTAAGCCAGACCCTCCATTTTTGTGCCTAGAGACTCATGTTACTCTGAGAAATAGTTTCATGGTTTTGCACTTTGATTCAGATTTTTAAATCTCTGCCACTGATGGCTGTTCAAGACCTAAGTGACCCATGCACTCTTACTTGTGGGAGACCCACCCCACGACCCCGCATCACAGCAAACCTGTTAAAATCTAGTCTTCTCTCACATTAAATGTAATTTATAGATAATGACATAAGAATTGGGCAATAACCCATTGATTAAATGTTTTGATTTGCAGATATTCAGTTCTATATTTATTAATTTTTATTTTTCATACTTGAGAACAAATTCAAGTGTTTAGGGACCCAGTCTTTTTATAGGGCCTTGAAAAACATATAGACCTTCAGCACAAGGCCAACAGTGAATAAAATGGCCTTACTAACACTTGGCCATCTCCACCACACTGGAGGGCATTGCCAGGGTGCATAAGGCCCTTTGATTAGATTGATTGGTACTGTTTGCAAACATATAATGGAACTCATATTCTCTTGCAAATTACATTAAAATTGGTAAAATATAGAAAGAATGAGAAAAGCCAGATTGAACTGATTTACCTGAAATTAATTGTTACATCTGCTCAACACAATCCCTTTGGAATTAGTTTTTAGCTCCAAACTGATGAGACTGAAACACATCTATGTACCAGAAGGTGGCTAAATCTAACTCTAGCTTTATCTCAATCTATTTGATTTATTTTCTCCTAAAATATCAAACAGAGCAAGCTGTGTGAATAGGCATATGTGGCAGGAAGTGTCCTACCTCGAAGAAAACGTACTCCCTAACTTCCTATTGCCTGAAATTATTATTAGAGATTGATTTCTTTGGCTAGAGGCTTTGTACTTGATGGAAGTTCTAGAACTCCTGGGAAAAAGGAAAGCCCCCGATTTTATGTTATTTATACCTTTGTGGCTCTGAGTTGATCAGATTCATTTCTAAGAACAAATTTTAGGGCAGGAAACAGACCGCCATGGCCCAGGGGAAACAGTGGATGATGCAGGGGGAGAAGTTCCACTGAGGGTGAGGAAATCTACAGAAAGGTGCAGAGAGGCAATGAAGACACAGCTCTGCCTCCAGGTCACCTGTGCTGAGCAACTTATAAAATGTGAGAGATGAAATGGGAGAGAAAGACAAGTAAGATTGAGGGCAATGCAGTGATAGAACCATATGAAGATGAAAAAGATAACAGAATAAAAGAGAGGATAAAATCCAGAAGAATCCATTTTTTTAAATGAGAAGAGGATAAACAGGCAGAAAAAGAGCCACAAATAAACAGAAGCACAACCAGAAAGAGAGGGGGTGGGGAAAATAGAGTCCTAAAAATCTGAGGTGGGAAAAAAAAGAGTCATGTGACTATTTGGAAATTCTTCAACAATGTCCGGCTCTAGTTCTCCTGAGATGGGTTCTCATATGTGTAGGCCCATGAGTCCATCCCTGGTCAGACAGTCTACTTTTTCTCTTAATTGCCTGTCTTCACAGGCAGGTGATGAACCAGCTTTTACAGAGCACCAACTATCCGCTGGCACTGAGCTAAGCACTAGTACTTCATTATCTCTTTAATCTTCATATCTCTTTTGTAAGAAGCTGTTCTTTCTACCAGATCACACTGAGGAATTTAGGTCCAAAGAGTTTAAGCGCTTTCACAAGATCACGCAGCCAATCATTCTGTAGAACTGACATTTGAATCAATAATTGTCCATAGAGTCAAACACCAAGCAGTCCCCTATGGGCCTTTTCCCTCACCTAAGGACCACCTTACCAACTCACCCAAGAATTCTGGGAACCATTTCAAATTATTCCACCTAGGTACCCCTTATGTATTCCTCAGCTAAAGGAGCACAACCTTCTTTACAGCCACCGTGACTATTTCTAACTTACAAACGAATTGTTTAACAATTAACTTCTCTAACGTTGTACTGCCTCCTTGGATTATGCTGAATCTAAAAAGCTCAGTGTCACCTCTGCTAGCTCTTCCCACTGGTGGTCGAATTTAATGTGGGTGCTCTTTCCAGAAAAAGAACAACATTAACAATCTATCATCGTCAATGCTACCAACATGAACATTCTTAAAAGTCCTTACTCTCAACATTATGTTTTTCCTCCCATTATCACAGAATTTCAAGTGGCATTATATGTTTCCTCCCATTATTATCACAGAATTTCAAACGATGCTGCTTGTCCCAAATCTCAGGGAAAAACTAAAAGGGAAATGAGGTCACCCTATGAGTTTATTTGTCCTTGCTGAATAGTGGAAGGAAGCATTGCTGAGTTTGTAGCCAGCTTGGTGGGTCTCATGCTTGGTATTTCTGCGATGCTGCAAAATACCCCCACTGATTTCCTAATGAAATGAAGTTTCAACGAAAGCCACATGGAGGAGAGCGTCCTGTTCACTGCCTGCGACCGCGTGGGGAGGGCTGGTCTCCCACACACATAGGCAGTGTGCCACGGTCCTAAATAGCTCCACCACACCCAGCAGGCATTTCCCAAGGCCAGGATGCTGCCATGGTGGCAATCATTAGGACTGTTCAAAACCTCTTCTCCTTCCGGGCACACAATGGAAGTGTACTTCCTCAGCCCTCTCCCTGCAGCCAGGCATGGCGTTGGAGCTTGGTTTGGCCAGTGAAATATGAGCAGATGTATGTCCTTTCTATGCAGAAGCCTTTAAGAGCCACTGCATGAGTTGCCATATTCTTTTCCTGCCTTGGAAATCATGGAAGTACATTGAGATGGAACTACATACAGCCTGGGTCCCCAAGTGTACCAACAGCTACTAGGAACCCACGCCAACCCACGTGGGAAATGGAGCATGAGCACAAACCACACTGTCATTGTTATAAACAACTAAGAATTGTTTGTGGGGGTTTTTAAATTACTGCAGCCTGACCTAACCTATCTGATTGACTCAGAAATTAGTATCAAGAAAAGGATGCTCCCCAAACAGAAAACAAATATTGTCATTTCAACATGGAATTAATATAAAAAGTAATGAGATAATTTACTCTTTTGTCCTAAGTTGTTTTTTTAAGCTACAGCACATCTAAGTTTCAATGACTAATATTTCAAGTTCTCAGTAGTCCCATGTGGCTAGTGGCTACCATATTGGACAGCACAGTAAAGGGTGTGAGACACCGTACAAATCAATTTGTCAGTGGTTCTCAACTCTGGCTGCCCATCAGAATGATCCGAGTGATTCTGATGCCCAGGCAGATAACCAGGCAGGGCTGGGCCTAGGATGAGGCAAGTTAAGCACTTACCTGGTATCTGGGTACACTGTCTTGTACCCAGGGCATAAAATTTAAAGGAACACACACACACACACACACACACACACACACACACACTCACACTCGGTAATAAAGATAAATGATATTACAATGCAATATGTTAAAAATCAAATTTAATGCCAAAAAGTTTATAATGAACAAAATAACAAAATTTATATAAAAACATACTGATTTTCCTTAGGCTCAGGCTCCTATGGCTCAGTGTGACACTCTACCCAGGGCCCAACTAAATCAGTATTTCCACTAATAGGGCCCAGGAACTATATTGTTTAAAGCACTCAGATGATTTTAATGTGCAGGCAGCCTTGAGAGCCATTGTTCTAGTCCAACATCTGTCCTCCTGCCCTGATTCCCTGATACAATGGGGAGTCAGTGGGCATTCATAACTCTGGAGTGTGATCTCTCTTACCAAATCCCCCAAACGTTGTTTTCTTTTTTGTACTTCCAGAGATCAGAAGTTCACAGCTTCATGGGGCAGCCATGACACCATTGAACAGCTCCAGTGCTAACTTTTATTAATTTAGAGAACACTGGTAAAATAATAATTTTCAAATAAAATAATGCCTCTCAGACAGATACAAAATTAAACATGAGATAAAGATTTTATTTAACAGGGAAGATTTTATAACTCGTACAAAAATGAATCCAAAAATAGGCATCTTTATAGATCAGGAATATTGAAGTGAGTGTGCAAATGGCACAAAACTGGTTTTTCCACAAGGGGAGCAAGAGAGAAAGATCAATGAAATTATGGACAGAATCTGCTTCTCTCTGAATCACCTACAACCTACAGAGTTGCAAAGATCTCCCATAGAATGAA